AGAGAGAGAGAGAGAGAGAGAGAGAGAGAGAGAGAGAGAGAGTCATAGAGAGTGGATGGAGGGAAAAAGTCAGAGGACGAGAACAGTAGACAGGATTGGGGAAGGAAGAGAACTGAGCAAGGTTTGAGAGGAGAGAGATCAATACTGAAAGAAAGGAAGACACATAACAAAGGGATGTGAACACAGAAAATAAAGACAGAGTGAGGCAGGAGAGAGGAACGATGAGAGGAGGAGGAAAAATGGAGACAGGAGAAGGACACAAGAGAGAGAATGAAAAAAAGGAGACATGAAAGTGAAAGAAGGATGCAGGAATGAAAAGAAAGAGACAGTAAGAGACATAGAGGGAGAACCAGAATGGTATAAAGATCACATGGCCAATATGGTGCCAATTTGAGTTGCTCTCCCTCCTTCGTTTGATCCCTCTCTGTCCGTCTCCACGGCGATTAACGGCCGGGAGAGTTGTCACGGGAACGGCCGAGAGGGGGAATAACGAGGAGGAGGGACGTCATCTGGACCAAGTGGAGCGGAGAAAGAGGAAGAGAGAGCGAGAGAGGAGGACCCCAAACCACAGCAGCACATAATTAAAATGGCTCCTCACACACACATTTCAACAAATCCAATAATGAGCAGCCTCTCCTTCCCTCCACTGAGACACACAGTTCACCAGTCTCCTCGAACCATTCACGATCTGACGCCGTCTGTCATCAAAGTGCCAATATCTGCAACAAGTTGTTCGCGCGAGTGCCACCATGACAGGGTGCGGTCACTACGAAGGCCAACACAGACTAAGTGCTAAAGGTGCAAACAGCTGATGCTTTTGACTGGAAAAAAATCACCATATTCAAATGTAACCAACACCTTGTGGCAAACACAAATGACTCATTAAAATTTTAACTGCGATACTTCCCCCGGAATTTAATTCTAGTCAGAGTGGGAAAGCATCTGAAGCAGCATTTAAATCAAATCTAAAACTCTCACATGAAATCCAAGATAATGACAAGCATCTACTCCACCTCACATATTAGTGTGAAAGTTATCTCATCTTAACACTATTCAATATAGTCAATTACTTGTAACGTGCACCTGATGTCCTAATATCGACTTCCCAAATTGTGCTTTCCATGATGATTTTATAATGTTTGTGTTTATGTTGAATTATGTGCGGTCATGTATGGTTATTGATGTTCTTTTAATATTCTTTTATGCTCTCTGTGAAAAGCAAATTCCCTTCGGCGCAATAAAGATTTCACTCATGTATTTATTTGTTTGTTTAGTTCCACAGACACCAATTTTGTTAACCTATTAATTTAGCACATTTATCAAGCACAAAGGGAAAACATTCACTCGCTTCTAAAACGTGAGGATTTGCTGCTTTTCTTAATTTTATTTCTTGCAATATCAATATTTGGGGTTTGGACTCTCTTTTTTCTAAAGTGTGATGACAGTTTGTATTGTTTTCTTACATTTTATAAACAAGACCAATAACCTACAAACAGAGTAGCGCACAGTTTGGAGTCAAGAAGGGTGATAATGTGCTAAAAATGAAAATTATACTTTGAACTTTGAAATGTGCAGTACATTGCTGTATCCTTGCATGGCATCTTTAAGAGTCGTGACCACACAATAACTTTAACAATACAAATTTCAAATGTTTTCATTCATACACTGTTTGCTGGTATTTTATTCTCATTCCACTGCCTGACTCCACAAAGTTGTTACCACCTGAATGCTTAAAGTAGAGGATATTTCTCACCTGCCAAGATGGCTTTGTGCCCCTGGAACTTCTGTCCAGCAACACACAGGGAGCAGTCAGTGAATCTAGAGTTTTCCCACAGATCTCCGAGCTCCTCGGCCAGCCGGCAGTCGGGAACCTTCACCATGTCCATTGTGTTCTGGGCTGAGATGTTCACAGAGTCCTGTACCACGCTCACCTGAGAACACACACAGAGTTCATGAGTAAAATGTACAATTTGTACTATCTCCGCCAGGAGGATCATGCACTCCGTTGTGTACATGCGTCTGTGAGAGAGTCCGTGAGTGAGTGTGCACCTCTGTGTCTGTCCACGGCTAATCTTGCATTCTGCTGCAGCGACTGCATCATTTTTTTGGATGCCCAGTCATGGCTGCATGCTGAAGGATCTCCCATAGTTGCGGTGACACACGCTTTATCAAAACACCTTTTATTGCCTGCAGACTCCTCACTCACTATTCTTAACCGGCCTCAGGCCAGCAGGGGCTAAAAGTGATAAAACAGCTAAGTGCATCACCACCTCTCCATCTACTACTCTGCGCCAAGAGTTGGGGGACAACAGTTTGTTTTCATTTTGTTATTGCAATAATGTATGACATGTTTTAAACGACGACTTTGTGCAGATTGCCTGCATTGATCTCCGTGTTTTTGAGTTTGGCCGTGTGTTTTATGACGCCTCACAGGCTATTGGTGTATAGACAGAGTTTAGCCAACTGTGTTTTGCATTCATTCAATCACACAATATAGCAGCGGTTGTTGCAGACACACCTTGTGGAGATCTGCAATCTACTGCCTTTCTAGTTTGCTGCATACAGTCATTCTTACACACGCAGAGTTTTAATTTTAGGGTGAACTGCCCCTTTATCACACAAACTAGTTCACGCAGAGGCAAATAAAAGCATACAATGTTCATAAAAATAAAATAAATCAGGTAATCAAACATGCTGTGAATGATTAATGTGGGTTCTCTGCCTCCGTAATCGATACATCAGACGCTCAATATGGAGGCTATTCAAAGACAACCTATTCTTCCTTCTTTATTCAATCAGATCGGCTACGCTCTCAAACAAGCCACAAAATCAGCATTGTAGTCAAATTGGATGTGTGTGTGTGTGTGTGTGTAATCTTCCCTGCTGACTTCACCACCTGTTCCAGACAATGTCAACCAGACTCATTTATCTCTCAACAGGACTTGCTGTAAACACACACAGACACACAGACACACACACATACACACACGAACAGGCTCATAAGCAGAAACACACATTCTCTCTCTCACAGACACACACAAGCAGGCTCATGAGCACAAATGCACATTCTCTCACACACTAATTACTGAGTCATTTACGACAGTTTACCGGCTTGCTGTGTCACCTAATCAAATACCAGGTAGTTACCCATAGCCCTGCTTAGAATACAGTTAGTTATCATTTGGAAAGTTATTTAGCACGTTACAATTCATGATAAAACAGTCTGATAAATATAACACTAACGTCAGGTGTAAAGGAAATAATACAGTACGGCAGTCCTTGATGGCTAGCATCACTAGAGTGTTGAAGTGGACTTGAAGTAATTTAGCTAATAACAATGTCAGACGATGAACTGGTGGAGTACTTCTAATTCTTGAACTGACATAAAACTCCCCCAGTTAATTCCTAAGTACAAACAATGAGTATGTGTTGAAAAGGTGCAAGTGTGTTTTGAGCGGTGATTTAGTTTACACATTGATCATTTTCTGCAGAGTTTCTAAGGACATTTGGTTGAAGGACGAGTGGTATCCAATAGATGGACTTGGGTGGGCTCTATTATTCTCCGAGACTTAGGAGTTCCCACAAGAGATTCACTGCTGTTGAACATTGATCTGATCAAATAGGCATCGTCTTTAAAATGGGTTAAAACATGATTATGGGTTCAGGAGAAGCATAGCTGGCAGAGCTGTGAGCGGCACCAACAACACAGCTAATGGTCCCAAACAGGATTCTACAACGATGGCGACTGAACGATCAGAGTGGAGACACATTTCGCTCTTGCATCTTTATAATCTATCCGCAACTTTTAAGAATTTGGTGGAACAGTAAGTTAATTCAGCCGAAGAGAGCTTTTGGTTGGTGCTAAATGTCCTTGGAGCCACTGGGACTAAGGTAGCCAAACAGATGATATTGAAATTATAGCTGATCAACAGGGGGGTAGATGATTAGCTGGGGCAATAGCAAAAAGTCCTGGCTAACTGTACTGGCGGTTGAGGGGTACGAGGGGTATGGGCAGATAATTTACTAGGAGGAGGGGGAAAAGAGTGTAGATTAAAAAAAGATTGCTAAAGTCGCTAATCTGTAGACAACAGCAATAATCAACAACTTTCACTTCCATCTTAGTGACGACACAGCCCAACTCCCCGCTAATCCCAAAATGTGCAAAGAGGCGGATGATCGGTGGAGCTGAAGCGGCCCGGGTGACGCAGCAGAGCGAGACAGCACACACCTGGCACTCAAATAAAAATTCTCCCCGTGTATACTTATCATGATGATCTTTGTAGCGGGCAGTAAATATGTTTATTTCTGTTGGGAAGTTGGGCTTTTCCACATGGAGGGGTCTATGGGGATCGACCCATTTTTTGGAGCCAGCCTCAAGTGGTGAACAGATCGGTTCATCCCCGACCAAGGGACAGTGTGCTGGACCGAGGCTGAAGGGTCAGGGGAGATGGGCTGGCTCGCCCAATCTGGCTCCCCCCAGAAGGGGGAGATGCTTCTCCTGGGCTGACTGACCCGTCCTTCTCCCCGAGCTCAGCCTGCAAGCGAGCAATGTTTTCTTTTACTTGTGAAAAGGTAAGATGCCAGTTTACACCCACAGCCATGGTCCTTAGCAGGACCGCATATAAAGTTAGCATAGCCGTGTTTTCCTCCCTGTTGGTGGTCACAGACATGCTGAAATTCTCCCATGCTGCTTCACAGGTGTACGATCACCCGGGACACCCATAGCGCTCGCCTTTCTGGAGGTATCCTAGTCTCCCAGACAACCAGTCAGCAAACCTGGCATAGAAACTGGCGTTTCTTTGCTGGTGTTTGGGAGACTAACAGGAGGAGCTGGGAGCCAGGTTTATGAAAACACATACAGTATACCATGATGTTATTTGGGGGATTTTAACACACGATTAAATCTAATGATGCTTTTACATTATCCAGCACGTTACAACAATAGATATGGAATTATGAAACTGTCTAATTGGTTATCTATTAATTCTGCACAACCATCACTGATCAGATATAATGTCAGATAAGCAAAACAACAATCTTGAGGATGATCTTTGTTCTCTGTTTTCTTTGCTGACAGCTTCTGAACACATTCAGGAAACTGTTCAAGAAAATCCCAACAAAGTGACCTTGCTATTAAAGCTTCAGGGAGGCTGACACCCAAAACCCCACAAAAAAAACCATCCCTCCTCATCCATCCCCATCCGCCCAACTGCCCGCCTACTCGCCCAATAGCACATCCATCCACCTATTCAACTCGCACAAAAATAGTCCTGGAACAGGAGGAGAAGCACATACAATAGACAAGTGCGTGGCAAGCAGGAAATTGAATGTCAAGGAGCCTTGTTTTCTCCTGATGGAGGTTTTGGAGTTAGCCTGAAGGGGACAGAAAGACAGAGAGACAGAAGGGAAGATAATAAAACAGAAAAAGAGGGTAAGAAAAAGGGAGGAGAGAGAGGGGGGGATATAGGGATAATAAATGCATAGAGAATACAGATGCAGATACCAAGAAGAGAA